GGGGATAGTAGGAAGAGAAAGTGAGCACTAAGATACTTTTGAGTCATTTTTTAAAACATGTTAAAAGTAAGTTTGCCTTCAGCATAGCCAGTGCTTCCCACCCCTCTAGGTAACACTGATCTGACCAACCACTAAAAGATGTATTTCCTAATCCCTTCTCCCGCAGTGGAGCAAACTGGGAAGGAAGAGAGCTTACCTACTAGCACTGGTATTATGGGCAGCAGGTGCATACAAATGTGGTGATAGACCATCATGATAACCGGAGCTTACTGCTAGTATCTGCAGCCATGACGACTTCAGTACTGATGTCAAGGACACCAGTGTAAAGATGGTCACAGCCAAAGGAGACTGCAAGCTTGCATTTAGTGTAGGAAGAGTCGTTACTATAAACAGTTCCACTGTTAACATCTATACACTTTGCATACAGAGTTGCATCCAGGATGTGGTGGTACCATTTCCATATAAAATTTGACCTAGAAAAGTCCCCGTGAAATGGAAGCAGCATTATAGATAAGAACCAAAAAATAAAGATCCCAAACATGCTCCAACTATTGGCATATGATTCCGTTGTATACCACAGCTGTACCTAGATAACACTTGCTTCCTTCAAAAGGGTGCTGAAGGCTCATTAGTGTTTGAGTGGATCCAGCATAGCTTTAAATAAGCTATTTCCCTTCCCCCGCTCCAATCTTTCACAAACGGATAAGGATGTCACGTAGCTTGGATTCAGGGCAATATGAACCTTTCCATGCCAATCTCTGGGAAGGGATGTGAAGCAGGTCAAGCCACACAAACACACACGCATCCAAAAGAAAGGTGGTCATTCCTTCAAAAGTTTATTTTTGGTGAATACAAAAAAATACTTTTTGTGGCCAGATAAACAGCATACATACAGTGTAACAGCATGGCTACCCCCTTCATGCTTTTGTATGTGGTTAAAGCTCTGGGAGAAAGTTGAGCTACAGAACACAAGCTCACACCCCAAACTTCAGCACGACCTGCAAGCATACCACTATAAAACGGTCTCACTCAGAAAGTTCTTCAGCTGCAATCATATTAATAAAGTTAGTAAATTTCAGTAAGAAAAAAAATCCATAGTGGTTTGATTTTTTAAAGCAACAAAGGCAGCACTAATTACTTACAACTCAATATATTACTCTATTGATGGACAGGAATTCTCGCTAGGCAAAGTAATTATCTTTCATATACCATGTTGTCACATGCAAATTAAATAAAGGACATGAAAAAAGTATCATGTTTACATCCTTGGCATTTTTACACTAAAAGATACTTGGTTGCCTTACAAGGCAAGTTAGAACAGAACTATGCCATGGAGGTGTTAGGCTTTTAAGACGTGCATGGTAAAGTTTGCCAGCTCTCTGCAATAGGTGGATAGGACATGTTATCCTACTGGCCCATGCCCAGTTTAAAATGATTTTGTTGTTGAAAAACAGAGATCCACTTAAATTTCTGTTTCAGAAAAATTGTAGCAAAGCTTTCCTATACTGCTTTTCCCCATTTATCATCAATTGTATTCTTGTACTGGGTAGCGTTATTAAGGCTGGACGGTAGAGAAAAATCTCTACTCTAGCTACCGTGCTACCATTCCACATCTCTGCTAGGTGTAGTGAAGTTCAGCAGTCCACTAGCTTCATCTCTTTTGAGATTTTGCTTAATGTAGAATATTGTATCAACAACGTTAGCACCTAACCTGTCAGATTTCACTGCAGCATTAGTTAATATGGTAAGTCCAGCGTAGATGGTTACCTTACAGTAATCAGTAGCAGACTGGTAACATATATTACCTAAAAAAAAAAGCTATTGACTTTGTAGATGCTATGTAAGTTCTATGGGAATGTTACCAGCAATGTCATGACATTGCTGGTAACAGGCACTAACAAACACACACCCTTAGAGCAGTGTATTTCTCTTTATACAGAAAAGCAAGTTCCAGGATTAATATTGACTAGAGATGATGTCCACTGAAATCTTCCAAATTTCTATTCAAACTCACAGAAACCAACAGTACATAAAGTTTAACTTTTCCCAACTTTAAGTGTAAGATAGGGCAGGAGCTTTTAATATACATAATAAGGCACAAAAAGCTCCAGGAGTAATGATCAAAAGAAGAATGGATTAGCCATGGCACAAAACGCAAGATGTACTCCTTGATGGCCTTGTCATCAGCATGTTCTGGGGCCTGGTCTGAGTGTTTTTTTTAGTAACAAGAGGTTAGAAAAAACTGTTTATTTCCTAGGTAAATGTAAAAGAATTTATGCTGAAATTCTGATAAGATTCTGTCATAGAAACTAGTCTGAAGATGCAGGAGATGAAAGGCAACTGGACAAAAGGAAGCAAGAGCAGTCTTCAACTTTTGGTTTAAAAAACTCTCCCGCATCCCTCACTTTGCAGTTGCTGGCCTAGAAAAAAGAAAAGTTTAGACAAACTACAAAAAGTGTTCCCTCCAATTCCAATTTATCTTCTGGACCTTCATGTAAAACCTCCCTAGAATATTTGTACATACAGAACTTTGAGGCATTTTGCTTTTAATTTCCAGACATTTCTTAAAGCGAGTTCCACATCATGAAGATGTGCAAGATATCACATAACTTGTTTACTATTTCAAAACTTAAAACCCAGAAGAATAGGTAAGGAAGAAAATATGTCTAATTACTACCCAATCCTCATCCCTGTCTGAGATTTTCTGTTGCAACTCTCCATGTCAAATAACTGCACTGCATTAAATTACAAACACCACAGATGTTCTAACTTTGATTTCAGTGTTACTACAAGTGCCACAGATGAGAAGAAAGTGAAATAGACTTCAGATTAGATTTGTGGAATCTAGCTGTCTCCCAGATCAAAATCCAAAAATCAAGCTGAAAAACACTTCATCTAGTCTGCTGGATATCCCAAGTTTGTCTATATGGAAAGTTTCTGAACCGCAAGCCAGGGTGTGCATCTACAGTGCACTAGCATGCCGTGCAATAATGTCTGAAAGTTCCAGAGTGCACTCTAGCAGTATCCACAGGCGATGTTACTGTGCAGCAAACTATTGTGCTGTAGATTCCCACCTTGGCTTCCTGCCCAGTAACCTTCTGTGTAGATCAGGGGTTCGCAACTTTTTTCTTTCTGAGCCCTTCCCCCACATGCTATAAAAACTCCACAGCCCACCTGTGCCACAACAACTGGTTTTCTTCCTATAAAAGCCAGGGCCGGCGTTAGGGGATAACAAGCAGGGCAATTGCCTGGGGAAGCTACTTTTCTCAGGGTCTCTGGCTTTCTGCCCTGGGCCCCAGGGAGGCTCAGTGGACCCCCTGAAACCTGCTTGCAGACCCTCAGGGGGGCCTCGGACCCCTCGTTGAGAACCACTGGTGTAGATAAGTCCCCAGTCTGATTGCAGTTCCTCTACTGATCATAAGACTAAGGAGAAAAGAGTCTGGCCAATCCAGTGTCTCAACTTAGAGCACTAAATCGAGAAATAATTATCCCTCAAGTACAAATTACTGAAATAAATTTCCTTCAAAACTTTGACAAGAGAATGATTTGAACATAAAAGTTCCTATTAGCTTGAAAAAATTCTAGCGTACAATTTCTGTATACAATTTAATTTTACTGGGGTTTCGGCTTATTATTTTCCTAAAACAGGGAAATACCATTCTCACTGTCTGCACAATTAAAATGCTGTATTATTGTACTACAGTGATCACAAATGAAGCACTGGTACATTATTAGTGAAAATGTCATCTTACTTGGAGTACTTTAAGTTACAGTAAGTGAAATAAAAGCAATACGTAGTATAAGAAAAAATCTGCAAGAGACAGACCACAAAACCCCCCCGAAATCTTAAAAAAAAAAAAGGACAGGAATGTTGATACTATCCAGGTAAGCAAAAGAAAAAGCTACAAACTGGAAGCCTGACATACTGAATAAGCAAAAGCAGCAGAAAGCTCTGATAAGACCATGTGTATTTAGACCCTACAAAAATAAGCCATGTTTCAGCCTTCCAGGTTACTTTAAAATCTTAAATGAAGGATTTGTTTTGTTTTTCTAAAGAATTTTTTATATAGATGCTTTGTGCCACTGCTCACTGAACTCACTGCACAATCTCATGGTGACAATCTAACCCAGGGGTCGGCAACCTTTCAGAAGTGCTGTGCCGAGTCTTCATTTATTCACTCTAATTTAAGGTTTCGCGTGCCGGTAATACATTTTAGCATTTTTAGAAGGTCTCTTTCTATAAGTCTATAATATAGAACTAAACTATTGCTGAACGTAAGGTAAACAAGGCTTTAAAAATGTTTAAGAAGCTTAATTTAAAATTAAATTAAAATGCAGAGCCTCTCGGACCGGTGGCCAGTGTGAGTGCCACTGAAAATCAGCTTGCGTGCTGCTTTCGGCACATGTGCCATAGGTTGCCTACCCCTGATCTAACAGTACAGCTACTGCTGTAAAGCAGACTGGAATCTCTTAACTGGTGGCAGTTGCGTGCAGAGAGGCTACACACTGCTAGCAGTCTGATTTTACCTGGTCTACACAGGTAGGGCAGAAGCTCATTTTGGACACACTTACGCAAATCCATATTTGCTCATATCAAAAGAATTTTACTCAGGGCTTGCCAATCGCTTTCTCATAATTTACTGAGAATCCACAATTCTACTGAGTCTGAAATACTTCAGCATCAGAGAAGAGACACTAAAAAAAATTGTACATTTTAATATTTATTTTCTATGAATTTTTGTGATATATGTATACTAGTGACACAAAATTTCTGATAGGTATAATACATGCAAGTAACTTAAATGAGATGTTAGCAATATCTAAATTGGTAACCTAACACAAGAGGGTTACTTCTGAGTCTACGTGACAAGTACTTCTGCAACAAGGACAATTAAGTGGGTAGGCATCTAACACAACTGGCTCAGTTGGACGTAATGGTAGGTATCTAAAATGGCAGCATGGCTTTCAGAAGAAGTGGAGCAGCAACTTTATTTGCTCAGAGGGCTTGTGCAGGGATGGGCGTGTGCTGGAGAACCATGGTTAAGCAAGATCTTGTTTCTGTAATTGATCTAACAGGTGGCTTTTGCTAGTTCCACTTTCTGCATTGTTTTTAATCACACATTATAAAATGCACCATTGACTCTACCCACCTTGGGAACGTATCATGCTATAGCTGTAGTCCATACTGTGGGTTTATGCCATGTCAGAGATTGAGAAAATTACAGTACCTTTTGAAACCAAGACATAATCTCAATTTCTGCTATCCCTTCTCTGCAATGCAGTCCTTAGAGAGGGCATTTTGATCAATGCAAATTAGGAAAATATCAACTTCCAAGCATCCATAGTTCAGACTTGCAGATGTTCTTTTATATTTCAGAAAGGGGCCCTTTTTAAAACAGCTATTAGTTTCTTCAAAAAAACCCCAAACATACAAAAAATAACCAAAAACAACCCATCTAGATTTCAAAACAAAACACTTAGAAATAAAATCCTTACGAGAATAGCAAGAGTTCTGATAGTCTTTTGTAGTACTAAGAATGTGTCTACTTCAGCTAGCATACATTCTAGCAGAAATCCCAGGTAAGATACTTTGAAAGGAGCTATTCAGTCCAATGTTAATTGAGTTTTTGTGGATGTTTCCTATTGTAAAAGTAGTTGTACATTGAGAGGTATATAATTGAAAAACATTTTCCTTCATGAACCTAGTACTAAGACCGTGACAAGATTTCCATTTATTGGTTTAGTTGAACAATGAAAAGAAGGATGCTGCCATGTTTTGCAGGCCAGGGAACTGTGAATCTAAATACTGTACAAGCAGAAGCTGGTGGATACTGTGCAGGAACTAATAAAACTAGTGCAAACAGGTACAAAGAAGATCCCTCCGATCCTGGGGTGAACCAGCTTCATAACACTGAAAGAGGACAAAATCTCTAAAACCCACACTCAGGTGCCTTTTTCCTCTCAAATAAATATTCACCTCAATCTTGGTCTTCTTGTGGGGAGGAAAATATCCACTGGCTCCATAGTGGTAGATAGCTATGATAAACGGTTTTCCTATTAATATTAACAAAGTCTTACAACAGGTCAAGGAACAATAAATAAATCAAGCTTAAGGTAATGACGTAATACTGCTTTTATAACCTTCTGTAAAAAGTGAGGCATTCTCTCCTGAGATACAGTGAGTCAGGGAAGGAAGGAACAGGAATGGTGGACTTAACACTGTACCATCTGTTTGATGAGCACGCACCTTACCTGAACAGATGAGAAAGAACAAACGTTTATTGCCCTCTGCTCACCTAAAGCTATTACAGGCAATTTGTTTAGGTAAGTGCTTGGCATATCAGAATGCTGTCAGGTTAGTTCTCTCTGTACTGTCCCCCTTGAGCTCATTTCATTAAAAAACATCAAAGCAGTTTAGGCCTCATCTTCTCTCAGTTCTGTGGGGAGAAATTTATACTGCTGCTGGCGGATCTGAGCCAGTTTTTTCCTTGCCTCTTCCAGCTCCCTTTCCTTCTTCAGCATTTCCTCCTGGGCTGCAATTATCTAGAGAAAAAGAGAAAGGTCTGTGATAGTGGAGAAGATTAATGGGGGCGGGGTAGAAAGGTGAGGATCTTTGTCCCTTTCACAATGGGATTCATGATCAGTGCACAACTGCTCTAAGGTGTTTTCCTGCAAAGCGCTGAACACACTGTCCCCAATCCAGGAAAGCATTTAAGCATGTGAAGAATCCCACTGATTTCAACAGGACTTGTGGGCTCAAGTGCTTAAGCAAAGTAAGTTGTCATGGGGTAAGAGGGAAGGTCCTTTCATGGATCAGTAACTGGTTAAAAGATAGGAAACAGAGGGTAGGAATAAATAGTCAGTTTTCAGAATGGAGTGAAGTAAATAGTGGTGTCCTCCAGAGGTCTGTACTGGGACCAGTGCTGTTCAACGTATTCATAAATGATCTGGAAAAAGGGGTAAACAGTGAGGAGGCAAAGTTTGCCGATGATACAAAACTACTCAAGATAGTTAAGCCCAAAGCAGACTGCAAAGAGTTACAAAGGGATCTCACAAAACTGGGTGACTGGGCAAAATGGCAGATGAAATTCAATGTTGATAAACACAAAGTAATGCACACATAAAATGATTGGGTCTAAATTAGCTGTTACCACTCAAGAAAAAGATCTTGAAGTCAGTGTGGATAGTTCTCTGAAAACATCCACTCAGTGTGCAGTGGCAGTCAAAAAAGCAAACAGAATGTTGGGTATCATTAGGAAAGGGATAGATAATGAGACAGAAAATATTCTACTGCCTCTATATAAATCCATGGTACACCCACATCTTGAATACTGCATGCAGATGTGGTCACTCCATCTAAAAAAAAATAAAAAAATATTGGAATTGCAAAAGGTACAGAAAAGGGCAACAAAAATGATTAAGGATAGGGAACAGCTTCCATATGAGAGAGATTAATAAGACTGGGAATTTTTAGCTTGGAAAAGAGACGACTAATGGGGATATGATAGAGGTCTATAAAATCATGACTGGTGTGGAGAAAGTAAATAAGTGTTATTTACTCCTTCTCAGAACACAAGAACTAAGGAGCACTAAATGAAATTAATAGGCAGCAGGTTTAAAACAAACAAAAGGAAGGATTTTTTCACATAACACACAGTCAACCTGTTGTGAAGGCCAAAAGTATAACAGGGTTCAAAAAAGAACTAGATAAATTCATGGAGGATAGGTCCATCAATGACTATTAGCCAGGATGGGCAGGGATGGTGTCCCTAGCCTCTGTTTGTCAGAAGCTGGGAATGGGTGACAGGAGATGGATCACTTAATGATTATCTGTTCTGTTCATTCCCTCTGAAGCACCTGGCATTGACCACTATTGGAAGACTGGGTAGATGGAACTTTGGTCTGACCCAATATGGTCGTTCTTATGTTCTTAAGTGCTTTGCTAGGCCAGGCCAGCATGCCCAGTCCCTTGCAGGATCAAGCCACTAAAATGCATTGTTAGTGCCCATCCCTCCTCTTCAGTGATCCCAGAGTGCAGGAAAAGAGGGCTGTCAGCATATTCCACCATCCATCTATGATGGTCTATTGGACCACTATACAGGCCAACCAGACGTGCATCAGAATAAACTAGCTGTAAAATAGTGGTAGGTGTGAAACAGGACAAGGAGAGTTGGAGAAATCAATCTGAGCTGTTTCTATTTTACTAACTATTGTATCTTTTCCTATTTTAAAATCTTCTCTCCTCTTTTGGTGTCTGTTGGAGCCACAGTAACAAAGGGGACACTGACCTTGAACCTATCCTGCAAACTTCATAAAGTAACACACTGAGCAACAGTAATAACTGAACATTCACTGTCCCATATACCTGCAAGAGTTTCCTATACCTAGGAGTAAAACAGGAGATATTACTGTGCTGTAAAATACTCAGGAACGGCAAGTTCCCATATTTTTAATGGCAGCCAATGTAGAAGCAGCTTTTCATTATTTTTTAATAAGTGGCATTTCTAGAAATTGATTGAACTAGGTTTTTAAAGTTATTTTAGTCCTGTGTATTTGTTAAAGCCACAATAATGAAGTACAAGTAATTCTCCCCACCACAGCCTTATTACAAGATTATCTGCATACAAACGGTCATGTAACTGAGATTTCAGAAGATTTAAAGCAGGTCTAGGAGCATCTGGAAAGAACCATTAGTTTAAGTAGCAGGAAATCTTCACTTTAACAACAACAGGGAGGGATACATAAAGGTATTATACAGTGGCAACAACTACCATGACAACTGTCCAACACACTGTGTAGGACAAACACAGAGTATTGCCTATTCTCTGTATGCACAATTTGTCCATTACAGAAATATACTAAGGCAAGTTATTTACAGTGAAGTTTCATGCAGTACTGCATTAATCTATTACAGTGTACATAAGGCAATATTATTGGGACACAAATTTTTCCTACTGTTGCTCTGGATGTTCACACCAACCTGAGCGATGCCACCAACAAACTTGGTTTTGACCACCACATCATCGTCGTCTGCTTTCCTAAATGCTGCTTTCTGGGCTGCCCTGACAAGATTGTCAGATGCTCGTTTAACAGCATTCCCCGCAGCCTAGAGAAGAGATAAAAGGAATTTAGTAGCAAAAAACATGAAGGCACACTGTATATGTAATGTGGGCTCCTTCTGGGCAGGAGAGAGAGCTCCACTGAACTCCAGAGGCAGGACACCTGTTTTCCTCACCGAACACCAAATGCACTTTTACCATCAGTGCTATAAGGTGAACATGAACTTGGACAATTCTGTCGGTCTCTGACCCGATTTGGAGCTCTATGTACAACTTATGAATTGCAGTTGATTTTATGAAAATGTTGTATCACTGAATGCCTCTGAGGATGTGGAGTCAACCATTTGCTACAACGACTGATGTCAAGTGCCTCCCAGACCACACAACTGAGCCCCTGACAAGTCAGACACCTGCTTGGCAGAAACTGGAGATAATGGCCTATGGCTCATCTTGTCTCTGGAGTGGTACTCCTTCCTAACCCTCTCTGAGATCATTGATGGCAGGATGGAGGCAGATGACTGGGGCCTCTTGGTCAAGGTAGTGAGGGAGGTCGGGGATGAATCTCAGCTTGCTGGGGAGCTCACGGAGACGGACTGACCAGAAGAGGGAGGTCTAGCCACAGCCTTCCTTTAAGCATCCACAGAGGCTTGCATTGAGCACCCCATGGGAACAATTTTAGGTGGTCTAAGGGCCTCTCTAGCTTTCTGAGTCAGCTTAGGCAAAGAGCAACATATGGATCACTGCTCAGGAATATTTCCCTCTCCGAAATAAGAGTTGCACCTGGAGTACCTATTGTTAAGTGGCATTGACGCCTCCCATGAGGGGCAGGTTTTGAATCCTGGGGATTTTGATTTTGCCATATTGGTAGAGCCCCTGTATATGGTTGAGGGTCTGGCCTATACACTAAATATCTGACTAAAGCAGCTTTTTTTGTTTGTGCCAACTGGGATAAAGACACTAGCCATTAATTAATAATACCAATAACTAATGCGCACTAATGCTAGCACAGCATGCAGAGAATCAGATGGTCATTGCAGGGGTTCCATCTTGCTGCCCAGGGTGATAAGAAGGAATGGAGGGACTGTTGGCCCTGCTTCACACTGTATGTCCTCATCTTGGGTACAGGCGTGGCCCCAACAGACACCACTAGCCAAAAAGAATCCCATCTAGCATGCAGAGAGCACATGTGCAGAAAGAGAGGAATTCATATGGACAATCATTCAAAGAAGAATTAGATGATTCACATGCGTTTTCATTTCGCCAGGCTCCAACTACAGCTCCTTCCAAAACAGTGTTCACATGGAACGTAGCTCAAACTCCTTCTCCAAAAGCTTGTCTGTCTGCATGGGTGTCAAAGAGGAAACCAGGACATTCCAACTCCCATATCCACCCTATTGATTAAGGCTCCATGGAAACATGGATGCTATTGGCAGAGCCAGCAGAGGAACCCAGGTGCTTGCCAAACGCACCGACACAAAACATTTGACGTGCACTAACCCAATAGTTCTGCTACAGTAAAGGGCATTGCTTCCAAGTGGAAAGTGCTGTTCCCACCTTCAAGCCTCCTCCACTGCTTGGTGAACCAACTATTCAAAGCCTGCATCTGAATACTTAAAAAGAAACACTTTTCCAGGGCTCTTGGGCCTGCCTCCTTGAGCCTCACTCTTAACTGTATTCTATGTCCATTTAATAAAATTTGTAACCCAATGCCCTGATCTTCCTGGATGGGTAGGCAGAACATGATAATACTAGCATTCTGTCCCCCTTTTTAGCCATTATTCTGCATTTAAAGTTCCTCCAGCCCCATTTTGGCACTCAGATACTAATGTGGGGATGCATCAGAAAGCGAACGATCCTCCAGTTACTGATACATGACCAGTACTGTGACAATCCCATCCAACAGGAGTCCCTCATCAACTGTCAAAACTACCCCCATTTTACCCATCCCCCGGTAGGGATAATATTACAAAACCATTGTTTTCTATTTAAACCACCACAGAACCCTAAATTTGCCTCAAGCTTTGACCATGATTTAAAATCACAGTTCTATTTTGAAAAATGACTGAAAATAGACTCCTCTTGCTCAGATATCTGATTTTAGTAACAGATACGTTTATTGGTTTTTATTCCCACCAACTTAGAACCAGAACCCAGCTGTTAGAACACAGACTGAGACTGCATGGCTAGAAGTCAGTAAAAGCTGCAGTAAAATCTAAGTTCATACTGAACGGTCCCTTGAAATGGGTGTTAACTACTTATGCTATACAATCTGTTCCACCTTGTATTTAGCTGCGACTCTGAGTACGTTTCCCAGACCAGAAGAAGAGCTCTGTGTGAGCTCAAAAGCTTCTCTCTCTCACCAACAGAAGCTGGTCCAATAAAATACATTACCTGCCCTGCCTTGACTTTCTAATATCCTGGGACTGACACAGCTACCACACCACTGCATGCAGTAAAAGCTGCAGTCATTTCTAAACTGAGCACATTGCAATTGTAAATCCTTGAGATAACAAGCTTAATATCCCAGAGTGCAGTGTTAACACACTCACCTTTCAGATAAACTCTGCTCCAAAGGGGACACTCCACATGAAATCAAATCAGTTTTTACAAAAAATGAATTAAGTCAGTTCTGGTCCTAAGCCAGAATCTGTTGTTTCTCTGCCAATGTTTGTAGTCTTACAACAATTTTCTTATTTTAAAATGTTCTCTCCTCTGTTGCTGTCTGTTAGAGCTGCATGGCCATATTAATGACAATTAATGACCCTGAACACTTGCATGACAACGCCCCCCACAATGGATTTTCCAACTCCAAAATGATTTCCCATTGACCAATAGCAATCTGGCATTTCAAGTTTCCATAGTGTGATCACCACTCGCTTCTCCAGTGTCAGTGAAGCTCTTATTATGGTGTCCCTGCACTTGAGGGCTGGGGTGTGCTTGGCACACAGACCCAGGAACGTGGCCTTCTGCATCTGGAAGTTTTGCAGCTGCTGCTCGTCATCTCACGCCTGCATTGTGATGTGATCCCACCAGTCACTAATCATTTTTAGGGCCCAGCAGTGGCACTCCCCCTTCTGCAGCTGTTCCATGAACACAACCACCAACCCTGAAATGGGGTCTTGCTACATCCCACAGCAATCTGTCCTCCAAGAACCTGTCATGTTCCATGCTGATTTGGTTTTTCTTACGGCTTTTCAAATACCAGAGGATCACATGTCCTGAGCTCGCAACACTTACCACAACAGTGCAGAGCTGTGCAGGCTCCACACTTCCATCAGAGATGGCAGACAGCAGGGAGAGCAGCGCAGGTTTGTGGGATGTGTAAAAGAGGTGTGAAAATTATAGGATACAACTGACATTATGGGATGGAGTCAGTTGCATCCTGGGAAGTTGACCCCTTGCTCCCAGTCACCCTGTACGATGCGTTTCTGTCCCACCAAGTATTGTCAAAACCTCCCAAAAGACAGTGTGCTGAATGGTGACGGGTTGTACAGTGGAATTCCTACCCAGGGTGCTCAGCGCTGTGCATCAGCATGAGCACTCCGGGTGAGTATGCCCAGCACTGATGCAAGGAGCCAAGTATACATGTGGACAAGTGATATACTAACTGCGGTGGCTTGATACCGATGTAATGTGTGTCAACCAAAGTTTGTAGTGTAGATATGGTCTTAGTGATGTACTTAGTTTAAACACATGAGTAGTCTCACTGAAATCTGGTAAGCACGTGCATGAGTGTTTGCAACTGAACATACAATGAAAACAGTAAAGCCAACAAGACACAAAGCGCTATCAAGAAACACCCTAGTAAACAGACTGAAAAGATAATTTCTCCCAATATCTTCCAGTTATAGTAAACTGAAGCATCATTTCTGACATCAACAAGTACAATGTTTTCTAACACCAGTTTCATTTTGGGTACATTACCAACAGGCAGGGTGGCACACTCTCCGTGTTTGATTCTGAGACACTGAGCATTAGCAGAATTCCCTCTGATCACTATATCCTCCCTCAGCTGGTGCGAGGTGCAAACAACTTCACATTTTTATCTTTCAAAAAGTTCAACCATCTTGAAGGTAATGGTGACAATGATCACAGAATGAGCTCCAGATGCTGATTAACAATGGCAAATTGCAGCATGGCAGCCTTGGACTTAACACAACATATTTCACTACTGGAGAAGATAAAACCCAGCCATTAGTTGTTTAGGCAATTTCCTGAAGCTATTGACTGAATTCTGAATTTGTTGAAAAGGGTGATGGTGACTGTTACATAGCTCGGAGATGGATTTTTACATTGTTTATGAACGCTGTTACCTGTAGTCTTCTCATGGCCTCGGAGTCTTGATCAGCCTTCACTTTGCACGCCACAAGTAACTGTGCTGTAGAAGCCGCAACTTGTTTGGCAGATGAGATGAGTTTCTCCTCACTAGCATGACCTTGTACCGAGGCATTGGCTGCCTCACACAGATTGCTGGTTGCAGCTGCCACCATTCGGGCCTAGGAGTCAATAACTAAAAGTTACTCAGCGTTCTAGTTTCTCAGAGACTTTCAAGAGAAAAAAACAAAACTGGAAATTACTCACAGCGGAAATAAGTCCCTGAGACCACTGTCCATCATCAGCTGCATTTGCAGGGATAGCTCCAACCTGGAAGAACCGTTCAGACACTTGCTTAGAGTGAAATATAAAATGCAATTGCTTTGCCTTGATTTGCATTCAAAGACCATAACCATCTGAAAAGGAAACTATATATACACATGCCCCTTCCCCCCAATTTATCTCAGTGCACACTCTACCTAATGATGACAGGAGAAAATTTCTGACTTACATTCCTATGTTAATATAAGTCAGTGGTTCCCAGACTCTGGCATGTATCTCTGTACTAGCCAAGGTTTTCTGACTAGTATTCTAGGCGCTCCCCTCCCACCATAACAATGTGGCTGTTGATCCCCTCCCACTACCTGTCTCTTATCAGAGGGGTAGCCGTGTTAGTCTGAATCTGTAAAAAGCTACAGAGGGGCCTGTGGA